GGGGCAACTACTTTTTGTCAATGAGGTTTTTGTATACAGTGGCAAGTTGTGATATCAAATCCTACTGCTCCAGAGCACTGGCATGAAAAATTAAATTAAAGTTCAGATGAGATATGATTGGAATTCATCTGAAAAAAAAATCATTCTGATGAGGCAAAGAAAAGTATGTTTTTTGTGTATAACTTCTTCAAAGATTTACTTCAGAGGTGAGCAACTGAAACGTTATCAGAACAGTGTTATGCTGTGTCTACTATGATATTTGGGGATCACATAGTTCAAGAAATACTTTGGAAATTTGGATATTTAATTTGATCAGAGGATTGAAGATGTGTGTTCAGATGGAATGCATTCCGAGCAAAATGAGGGAAGATCAGAAAACTGGGAAGAAGAAGGGAGAAATAGATCACATACTTCAGCATACATAATGAATGTTAATAGTTAGGCTGCATTCACTGCATTCTAGAATTTATAAAACAAACAAAAAAACCCTGTATTTTTAGCTTAAGTGCAGTGTCAGCTCTGAAAAAATGAGCACATAAGCTTAGTACTGTTGCTTACTTTTACGTGGGAACCGTATTTCCATATTTCTTCTGAAAGTTTGTAGAATTATACATTGTACAGTGTCACTGGTCTTTTCACAATCATGGTGTGTTTATGACATGGAGTAACCATGTCACAGTCTCAAATAAAATACAGACCTTTCTCCAACTTTGATTTAATGACATAAATGAATGTTTTCAGTCTCCAAGTGTGAATATCTTTGCATGATTTAGAACTCGAAAATATAATTATTTACTGCTTCAAACTTCATCTTGCTCTTTCTTAAAATTCCAGTTGTTCCTTTGACTATTCCTTGCAATTTTTTTTTTCCTGAAGAAATTTCATTGCAGCTTTCGTCCCATTGAATTGTGAATGCGCTAAACAGTATCAAGTACTTCAGGAACTTCACTAGTGGCTTCTCCTGGTATTAATGTTCAAAGGAGCGTATAATCACTTCTTTAACTAAATCACTTTAAGGAAATTGTACTAATAAACATCTTCTATGTTTCAATGATTTCCTGCATAGCACTAGGAATGTGAAGTTTCATTGAATTCTAGGTAGAGAATTTTAATGAAATAGAACCTCTTTCTTATAAAATATTAAAAAAAAAAAAAAAAAAAAAAAAAAAAAAAAAAAAAAAAAAGTAAACTGCTGTCATATTCACAGAATTGCAGAATAGCCTGGGTTGGAAATGACTTCAAGGAGCATGAATCTCCAACTCTCCCTCCCCCACAAGCAGGGCCACCAACCTCCACATTTAATACTAGACCAGGCTGCCTGAGGCCCCATTCAACCTTCTTACCTATTCTTACTTCCCTTGTTACATTTCACTTTGTCTTGAACAGATGTTTTTTCTGCTTTAACACTTACTTCAGAAACTCTATGAGCTACTGAAATCAGGCTCTCCTTTTCCTGTTTTTTCCTTGTTTTCTTACCTTGATGGCGCTATTTCAGTGTGATGTCATATTTAACTAGATGTATTTAAAAGCTACTTACTATTGGTGAACATTTTTATGCGCTGATGTGCCCAGACTTCTAATTTTGAAATTATCTGGTCAGTATCTCCTGTTTAATGTTTTGCTTGCACGTTGGTCTTATAATTATTAACATGTAGTTTCCACTAGCCCCTCCACCTCTTCCTCCATGCTCATCATAATCTGCTGTGCAGAATGTTGTATTTTATTGTGCAACTTGCATGTATTATACTTCAATCTGTGCTGCTTATTCACTGTGTAATGTCTTTCTTTTTGCATTTTTTATGGCTGATTTTTTTATTGTTGTTTTAATTGAGAAGTCTAACTTGGTCTCCATGTGTTTCTTGCTCTTTTTGTATGTTTTGTGCTCTTATTTGGTAAGTCATTTTCTGTGTTTCTTAACAAGAACTTTCTTATCTAAGCACTTCCTTACAATGCCATTGGTGATTGTATACTTTTCTGGGACAGTCATTCCAGCCAGCAATTCTGCTTTGTTGTCTTAAAGAAATTTTCGTCTATGTTCTGAAATTCTCAGTCCACAAAGTACTTTCTTTTTTTTAATATCCATATCCTTTTGAAGCAGTGGATTTTTATTGCTGTATGTCATGCTTCTGTTGAATTTAATAGAATGAGGTTGTAATAATTCGAACAGTACCTATTCTATATAATGCTTTTTAATTTTTAAGTTGCTTTTGGTATATAATGAAAAATGTTACGAATAAGAGCAGTATAAAAGTTTCATGTACTAGTTTTTGAAATTTATTGAAAACTTTCTAATACATCAACAGTTATTCAAAGGATAGTTCTTAATCACTTTTATTGGGTATTGAATGTTTTGGGTACTGTGAAAGCTAGTTTGAAAACAAAGCGTCACTTTTCAGGTTATACCTCTAAGTAATTTTTGTGAAAAATGTGTAATTAATTTTCTGAAAATCCATAGATAGTCTGTAATTGTTTATAGTTGTAAATAATTGTTTATAAAGCATTTGTGCAACAACAGGCAGTAGATTACATTCTGAATGGAAACACTAAAATAGTCATGCTCCTCTCAGAAGAACACATTTCACAGGGGACTCTTTCTAAATAACTCATGAAGGTCACAAGACTGAGAAGACATGAATGACTACCATTAGTACCTCATTCAGTGAATAAACTGAAATATCTTCTGCTGTGTGAAGTATTCTCTTGCTCCTGAGCTTTAATTCAAATCCTCTCCTTCCTTCAGTTTTCAACATATTAAAATCAAACTGATACGATCAAAGTGCACATATCAACAGTGTGTTTCTTTCATGTGCAACTTTTCTCCTTAATTCCTGACCTTTCTCCTTACATCTGAATTGTACTGGGGGGGGGGGGAAGGGAAACAACCTGTAGTGTGCAAGGAGAGCGCAGGTGAACACTGTTCTAAACCTGGCAGATCAAACTCACAGGCTACATGTGTGACTGGACAGCTCGTAATACAGTCCCACAAGATCTTTTAACAGTACTGGGGGTTGGATCAAGTAATCTCCAGAGGTCCCTTCCAACCTCTATGACACTACTGTGATTCCGTTAGCATTATGTGATTTTTAACTATATTTTTCATGAATTGCATTTTTCATGCATGTTGCTCAGGCATGGGTTGCATAGGTTAAAATGGAATGCTGTGGAGGGAACAGTGCAGGGATAACTCCATCTCTTGTGCCCACAACACAAACTCGATCACATTGAAACCTGCATGTATTACCACATTCATGTGCTTGTGCAACCTGGTAAATAAAACACAGTGATCGCTAATAGGAATATTTCAAACTACCTTTGTGTGCCTGGGAAGATGCTTATTTTTGATTATTAAGCAGACGTGCAAGTTTTCTTATTTAAGTAACACATTTGGGCAAATATAAAATTGCCAAAAAATAACCATTCAGTAAGACTTCTGAAGGCAGACTAATTGAGTATCATCTTCTGATAATGAATGAAGTACAGCACGGGGATTTTTAAATGAAATTCTTGGAAGAGTAGAAGTGACTAAAACATCTGCAGTGTTCATACCTCAGTACAGAAAAATATGACTGCAGCAGTTGCAATCTTCAGTCAGTGTGTTAAAATACATTTCTGTACTTCACGTATAACACAAGGAAGTGAATAATCATTTTTCCTTGTTTCTTGTTTCACAAGGGGAAGGAGAATCACAAAATAGTCTAGTTCAGCTCCACTGTTCAAGCAGAGTCCATCTCCAAGGATAGACACTCAACAGCCTCTCTGTGCAATCTTCTTCAGTGTTTGGCTACCCTCACAGTAAAAATGTGTTTTCTTCTGTTTGGGGAGTACTTGCTTGTTTTATGATTTTGTTTGTTCTTGTTTTTAATTTATCTACATCCTCTTGTCCAGTCATTGAATAACACTGAGGAGACCCTTTTCATACTTTCGTAGAGTCATAGAATATCGTTGGTTGGAAGGGATCTGAAAGATCATCTAGTTTCAGCCCTGGGCCTTGGATGGAGTTACCACCTACCTACTGGATCACCCTACCCAGAGCCCCATGCAGCCTGGCTTTTGATACCTCCGGGTATGGGGCATCCAAAGCCTCTCTGGGCAGCATGTATTTGTGTCTCACCACCCTCTTAGTAAAGAATTTCCACCTAACATCTAATCTAAATCTCCCCAGTTTCAGTTTAAGGAAATTTTCTCTTATCACTACCAGGTCAGGTAAAAAGTCAGTCTCCTTCCTGCTTATTAGCTGCCATCAAGTACTGGAAAATTTCAGTGAGGTCTCCCTGGTGTCTTCTACTCTGACAGCTGCAGCTTTTCAGATGTAATGGAGAGCAGTTTGGCAATTGCATCAGCCAGTTCCTTCAGGATGCTGGAATGCGTGTCCTCCAGCCCCACAGACTTCTACCCATTCAACTTCATAAGGTGGTCTTGGACTTTCTCCCTAAGTATTCAAATGCACTGATAAGATCCCCCTATCATGGAAGGAGACTAAAGCACTGCCCATTTCACTTGTGGAAGAGGAAGGCAGACATAATTATTTATATAAATAGACATAAGATTGTAATTTGAACAATGATTACAATGACTTAACAAGATCCAAAATGGCTACATAGCCTTGACTGTTCACTACACAGAGAGGAGGGGGAGCATAATGAATCTAAAGTAAAATCTTAGCAAATTTGTTATAGCTTAAAAAAAAACAATCTACCACTTACTTACCAAGGATCTGTTGGCAAGGCATCACCATGTCCTGGGTGAATCTCTACACATATGTTAACTAACATTAAGAGGTACCCCTATTCAAGAGAAGATTCTGGTATGCATCCAGATGCTTACAAGAACTCTCAAAGGGGTTCTTAGGTTACTTGCTAGTGTATGGGAACTGCTGAGTCACAGCCTGAACCTCTGATTGATCACCTGAGGTGAGCAATGAGTCAGCCAGAGGAGCACAGGTGAAAGCTCCTAGACTTATTTAAGATCTGGCTACCAGCGGGGAAGGATCTCTCTTCTGGAGATTGCTTCTGCTGGTGTTTTGTGAGTGAGCCCAGGATAGAGGTAAGCCTTCTATTTGTTCTCTTTTTGTTATTATAGTCTGCTTTGTGAAACTCTCGTTTATTTCATAATTATAACATCTTAATATTCATTCATTATGCACTATTTATGAGAATTTAGAATTGATTCTGTTGAACCAGGTATCTGATCACCAGTGATGAAACCTTGATTGTTGTTAGTCTGAAGGATGAGGTCTTTTGTATCTCACTGTATGCACTAGGCCTTGGACATAACAACTAGGCTGAGAGGTGGGGGCATGTTTTACAGATTTTTCTCTGTTAGGTTGATAGCCACTGTTCTTTCCAGATAGCACCATGGGCATGCACAATGCCAAATGCAAATTTTGACTCTGTCCAATACTGACTATTTTCATTTTTGCTAAACCCAAAGCTCTTAATAAGGCTGTAAGTTCTGCTTTCTGTACTAAGGTGGCAGGTGCCAGAGTTCCACCCTCTATTATTTTATTTCTGGTTGCTACAGCATACCTGGCCTTTTTAACACCATCTTGCGTAAAACTGCTACCATTCATATGCATTTCCATATCTAGATATCAGAGGGGAAAGCCTTTCAAATCAACTCTGCTAGAATATACTTGTTCAATTGTTTGAAGACAGTTGCTTTCAATTTCTCTTTCTGCTGTTGAGACATTTAAAAACGGAGCCAGATTCAGTATGTTAGTTACTTTTAATTCCACATCCTTTTCTTTCACTAGGATAGCTTGATACTTCATGATCCTGCTTGGAGATAACCAATAACTTTCCTGCAGCAACCATATGAGGGACATACACAGATATTTTATTTCCCAAAGTCAATTTCCTGGCTTTCTGTACAAGCAAGCTTGTAGCATCTACAAATTTTAAACAGAGGATTTCCAGCTTCAAGAACTTCTGCATTACAGAGTTTTCTTTCAAAGAAAATGTGTATTTTTTTTGTCTGACTGATTTTACTTTCAGCTTCTGCTGGATAGTTACCGTTAATTGCTTTGATCGTCCAGGTGTCTCTATGATACCTTGATCCACAATGTCATGGCATATTTTACTTCCCTTGCAGCTGTCTGGTCACAAGGGAACAGCTTCTGTAACATAAGAATTTGAGCCTCCACAGTTTCATTTTCTATAATATGCTCTTAGATTTCTATTTCACCAAATTTGACTGGGGTCTGCAGTTTGTTTAAGATATCTCTCTCCATTAATGGCATCGGGCAATCAGGCATATATAGAAATTGATGTATATGCATTCTTTTCCAAAATTAAAACTGTAATGGTTGGAAGAATGGCTGCACTCTAGCTTTTGCTTGGCTCCAACTACTGATTATGTTTGGTTGCTTGTCCCTTGCATGTATTTATAACTGAATATGATTCATGTTTATCTATAAGAAATTTTACATATTCATTCCCCACTCCCCATCAGTTCTCACTCAGAGTTATCAAGTTTAACTCCCAGGTGAGAGCAGACTCAGGACCCTGGGAGTCCTGCCCTCCCAGTACCTGCTCTGAGCATTCTCTATTCCAGCATCCATATTTCAAATGCTTTGCACACTGAAGATCTGGTTTCTCGACCCCAGGTCCAGGGCATCTTCCTTTTTTCTTTTACCTTTTCACCCTCCTGTCCATTTCCTTCTCTACCTCCCTTGGCCTGTGCCTTACCCAAACCTTTTTCTCATTCCAACCTTTTATTATTACAAACTGGCTCAGCTCTCTTAGATCAGCCAGGCACCTGATCTTCCATTTCAGTTTGTTTTATCTTACCCTTACCCTGCTCTTCCCTCCACCAAGGCTTTGCTGGGGGAGATTTATACCTTAAATCTGTAGTTTTCACAGCTCCTTTTCACTTCCTACAATTTGTGCCCCCCCCCCCCCCCCCCCCAATTTTGTTGGTCCCATACTGTGTTCTAATGGATAGAGTGATCCACTCGTATCAGTTCCAGTGCAACAATTGAGGATATGGCATACAGTGAAGCATTGTGTATTGTTAAGACAAAAGCTGTAGCTTTATTATCAGAAGTGTTATAAGTAAAATTAACCAACTGCCACCAGGATTGGAATTCTATTTCAAATTTATTTGCATTATTCCAAGTTACCTTTTGAATCTCAGTGGTTAAGGTGTCTCCTTTGCCTTCTCTTGTAATTGCTGCTACTGTAGATTAAATCCATGTTTGAGTTTAGATATGTCTAAAAGAAGAATTGTCTTGAGCTATAGCAAGTGTATCTACAATCAATTGGTTATCCTTTGTAGTAATTTTTTCCTACTTTGGTAGTATACTGGATAAGAGCCATTGATTAGCTCCCAGTCCTGATAGGAAAGACTGCATTGAATGTTGTAATATATGTAAGTCACTTGTCCAATTTTTGAGAGAGTGTTTTTTTCACTCTTGACATCAGTGGGGTTACTGAGAAAAGTCAATATGGGCAAAGCAGTTGTTATTCTGTGTCTATGCTATTTTGAATTTAAATGACAGACCTACATCATGGTGAATCCAGACTACAAAAACAATCTGTACTAAAACAAAATGATATAAAAAGTCCAATCTTTCAGTGGCACAATTTTTCTTTCTGTTTATTTTTGATTTGACCTCAATCACATAGATTTGATTTGTTTTCTCATGGGTGGACTCACTGACCATTTGACTTCCTACCTTTGTTTCTTGTCCTGCAATTTCCAGGAGTTGAGGGAGCTGATTAGTACTATCCCAGCTCCATTTGTTTTCTAAGTAGATTTCAGTTTTGTGAATGAGAGGGTCAAGTCTTTGCTCTGTGCAGTAAAGTGCTTCCTTGCCTGTGTGACCTGAAGGCTGATGTAACCATTCTTCAAACTGATACCACTCAGGACCTACAGTGATTTTTCTGATTTTAGTTAATTCATCTTTCCTTTCATTCAATCTTGTGGCAGGATGATTATCTTTAAGATGGGCTTTTACCCATCCCATCTTAAAAAGGTATTTTCATGACTGTGTCTAGTAGTAATTGTCAATCTTTTTTTCTTCAAGTGGGGATCTATTTTCTTCCCAATTCAGGATTTCTCATTAGCAGAACCACTGTGTGGTATAAGCCCGCACAGTGTAAGAATCTACATATATGACACTTGCTCCATTTTGTGTTGCTGGGACAACTGTTCTTATTTCTTTTATTTATGCACTGTTTTCACCTTCTTTTATAACTTGTTTGTTAGTGGTAAAATCCAATGCAACAGCTTTATATTGCCATTTACCACTCACTCTTTTGAATGAGGTGTAAACAAAATGTTTTCTGTTGACGTACCTACAAAAGGGAACGGTGTATTCAGAATTGGTAAAGCTTAAACAGTAGTTGTAATTCTAAAGGATCTCTGTTTATAGGCATCTCCGATTTGGAAACTTTAGTATGGCTTTCCACCAATTTAATATTTTCTGCAACTCCTGTTAGGTAAACATACTGTTTCTAGGTGTGTTTTTGCAAAATTCCTTTTGGGGAAGCTGTCCCCTAGAGGACTTCCAGTAAGTTATATGGCCATCTGCTTTGTACAGGCTGCCCTGATGTATTTTCTCAACTTGATTAACTGTTCAGGCAAGAGATAAGCATCCCTTTTCCTCATTCAGAATATCTTTGGTCTATTTCTTCAAGTGTGGGTGAACAAAGCAGTAAAGTCTTTCTTGGCCCATCAAGGCCAATTTGAAATAGGTTACAGCAACTAGTACTTTCAGCAAAAACCCATTCAGCTATAGTGGGCTCAAAGGAGATATATTAGCCCTAGTTTTTAACTCTTCAGTTAGAGTTTTGACTGTCTCTCTGTGCTCTGATTTCCACTCCCACGGCTTGCCTTTCCATAGGAATGAGTACAATGGATGAGAAATGATAGGAAACTCAGGTACATTCTTTCTCTACTATCTCAAGGTTCTCATTAACTGTTGTAACTCCTTCCTTGATTTAGGAATTTGTAGCTCTTCAGTTATCCTTAGAAGGTCCGGACGGATAATGACACTGTCTGATACCCACAAAATACCCTCAAATTTTACTTCTCTACTTAGTCCCTGACAGTTTCCAGATGGAATCTTAATTTCTTCTTCATTTAGTGGTTGCTGTAGTGCTGCTGCCACTTGCCTGACGTTCTCAGAGGAAGTCGCTCTGATGCAAATACCGTATATATTGATATGGTTTCACATCCCGAGAAAGTGAAATTGTCTCTAGAAGTTCAGGAAGTGCAGTGTGAGCTATTGTGGAAGTATGTTTAGATCCCTGTTTGGAGTCTGTTAAAGGTAAACATTGTATCCCTTCCCAAGTGAAAGAAAACTTTTCTGTACCCTCTTCTTGCAAGGGAACCATAAATAGTGTATCTTTTACATCAAAGGCTGCCATCTATGGGTGTGCGTCTGCTTACAAAGTAGCTTTTAAGTCGCCAGTGTTTGGGACAGCAACTGCCAGCAGTGATGTATTGGCATTCAGGCGCTGATAATCGATTGTTAATCACCACCTCCTGTCTGGTTTCTGAGCTTGCCAGAGAGGTGAGTTATACGGGGAGTGGGTTTTCAATATAATTTGTTTTTTTTTTCCCTCCAAATCTGCTATGAATTAAGGAATCCCATGTCGTGCTGCGGTAGAAATGGGGTACTGCAGTACACTGGGGATCTTTGAATTCAGGGAGTGCAGGCGTTGAATGAAGTACACACACTGTGACCTCCCTATTTCTGTGGTGTCTGGGATTGATATTTGAGCCAAAAGACTACATGCTGCCATTCAGCAGGCACCAAATCCTAAAATATTTTCATGATGCTCTGTAATTGCAAAGCGAGTAGATGACAGACGTTTCTCACTGGGGAGCCACAAGTTGGTTTGTCAAACAGAACTCGCTCTATTCACACTGGTTAATCTTAACTCTTTGCTGTCCAGGCCACACTCATCTTCTCAGTATCTTGCTGATAGTACTGAAAAGTGAGCTCCTGTATCTATTAGAAATTTCATCAATTGCCTTTGAGGACTGACTGGAATCAGAATATATGGACCATCATAGCTTATCCATTGATAAACCTC